GATCTAACATGGTGACCAACTTGTCTGGCTTCTAGCAGAGAAGTAGCACACTGTGGAGAGGGCTTTTTCTGATGATTTCAATATCAAAGGTCCTGACTTCATTTTACCTAGGAATCTTGCTGCTTTTGATTTTTTTTCTGTGCTCTGATGTCACCTCCAGATTAATTGTAGAGTATAAAAGTAGTAAAGATCTCCAATACCAAGAACAGGAAAGCTACGTTCAACGTACCTTTTCTTACTGTCTCTTTTTGCTGTTTTTTCTAAAACTGCTCTTCGTCGCAGGTAGTCATTTTGGATTTCATTATACTTTGCAGTGTGCTCTTTGATAAGGTCAGTGGTTTTCTTGTGGTGCCTCTTTACAAGGTCCTTCATTTCCTTGTAGTGTTTCTTTTGAAGCTTAACAAAAGACTTCTGTTGTTTTAGCTCCTCAATAGTCTGTGCTTCCACTTCTACAACGACAATAACAAAAGCCACTTCAATTTTCCAGTAATGTACGATTTCAATCAGAGAACCCAGAAATTGCCTTTAGCAGGAAGGAAACTAAGCCTGCTTGTTTACTGCTGGTAAGTGAAATGTGCTCAATTAAAGTAGCTGAGTAGACCTGTCTGGAAATAAGGTAATCAGACTGAAAATACTGTGGCAAATTTAATTGATATAGGAGTAAGAAGTGAGACGAAAATTTAGAACACCGAGATGTGTAGCAAAATAAAACCCATGTACTGTCTTTCCTCAACTCTTTCAGATGCAAAAGGTTTCCATCAGCCCTGTGAACCCAGATGACAGCTTGAGATCAAGGTCTGCTAGCACGACCTCCACAAGCTCACCTTACATCAGCAATTAAAAAAAAAAAAAAAGTGCTGGAGAGAAGGGTGACTTGCATGATCTGAGGCCACAGCTCTAGGAAAGCCAGACCGAAGACCCCTTCCCAGACAACGGCCAGCAGGTACTTCCACAATCTAGGCCAGCCTCCTTCTATTACACACAAGGGAGACTGAATAAGAGGCAATTGACATGCAGATTTTCATGTCTTACCTGTTTTCCACACCTAAATGCAGGCCCATACAAGATTTGGACATGGAGTGGGTTCTAACGTAGAAGAGAGTGACTATAAAATAAACTGAGTTATGAGATTTGTAATCTAAACTCTAACTCCAAGCTGGAGGACATGACTCTCAATTGAACAGTAGGACACTAGCTAACTGACAGGCCAGTTTGCTTAATGTAATGGTAATTTCAATTTTGTAGGAGCAATGGGAACACTGCAAGGCTAATGAAGATAAAATGGTTTCAGTACTATTCACAATATTCAGAGCAAATTTAGCTTCTGTTCTCATAATGATGCTGGTCTTTTATCTGCATTAGATGGTAACAGTGTGCTTGTGAAACTACAACAATTGGGTATTTAAAAAAAATCCCTGTTGATACAAAACATGTTCAAACATTTGATAACTTCAAAGCTGAGGAAGAAAACATGGTATGTACATTTTCTATGAGTTACTGCAGTCCTAATCACTCAAAGAAATGTCTAAGCCAGACGGCTTATTTAATAAAAAAAAGGTTTCTCTTGGCAAAACAGTGTATCATTCATGCAGTGTAAACTGTGTATTTATTACCTGTGAGGACACTCTGAATAAGATCTTCTGTCTTTGCAGGTGCTTTCACTGAACCTAGAGGTAAAAGAGATGACTGATTCCAATTCTTTTAAAGCAACAGCCATTATTGTGCTGCTTGATTGCAAATTAAAACATGTCAGGTGACACAGGACATATGCTGACATGGGCATTTATTAATCATTTGAGAAAACACATCTCTTGAGCAGAATAGCAACACGGAGAACACCACCAATCCTGTGAACCAACACAAAAAGGTAACCTTTGGAAAAGCCATGAGAGCTTTGTTGTTTTACTTATGAGGAGGATGTTATTGAACTCATTGACACCACTCATATGAATCATTAAGTGGTATTAGTACTGATGATTAGTACACCTGCCCGGTGTTATGATGACAGTGCAAGATTTCTGTCCACCAGATGAATCCAGCTCCTTGGAAGTCAGTTTGATCAAGCCTATGAAGACTGCAGTCATAAAATCACACACAACGTGGTGGAACAAGCGTTTATCATAGGAGATATACCATTACAGAATATTTTAGGTATCTAAGATTTCATTTTGTATGTGGAATAACATGTAACTACATGCATAAATTAAGCATATTTTTAAAATCAATTTAACGAGATTACTGCACTTGCAACAATAACCAGGAAACTTTCTTGCCTGTAACAAACTTCGGTTCCACCACAAAAGTAACTCTTAAATAGAAGATATGTGTATATTTGAAGGCAGCTGGCCATAACAGCATACTAAAGTAATGGGAAAATTTCTACCTATTTTATAAAACCAAAACAAACAAACACCAAAAAAACCTTTGTTCTTTAAACACAAAGCATATGAAAAATTATTATCCAGATTTATTTTGAAAAGATAGGACCTTTTTTGTTTTGCTTTGGTTGTTGTTTGGTTGGTTTTTTTTTTTTTTACCTGGTGCTGGTTGGCTATGGACAACCTGAGTCGCTGGTTTCGGTGTAAGAGAGGCAGTGCAATTTACTCCATTTTCTGCTGGTGTTGGCCTAGGTTCATTGTTAGCTTCAGATGGTGCATCTCCATGGTCAATCTGACAATACATAATAATTTACATTACTCTTCACAGCTAACAGACTTCAAATTACTTATTTACAGGTCTAGTTCAGCCTCTTTTTTAAATTGTAAAATTCCGTACCTGTTATATATAAATCTTTCTAAAAGAAAACAAAAAAGATATCCTTAAGAGCCATGGTAATCCAGGTGATTCACTTGTGCAGGGTAAATTTCAAGAAGAAATAGAGCATGTATTATTCTGAAAAAGCATTTATTTTAAGTGGATATAACTCATCAGGGACGTTTTTCAATACAGTATATATTAGCTGCACCAGATGTGAAATCTGTATTTTATTAAAAAGCATTGTTCTCTGCCATAAAAATCTGTCTAGAAATAATGTAGAAGCTGGCATGAAAATGCTAGTCAAATCCCTGCTGTGAACAAAACGTGTACACAAAATTACTTTTAAATTTCATAGACACACACAGTACTATAATTTTTCACCATTCTTACAGAGCAGAGATATACTTCTGATTCCCAAGATCTTACATTCTTGTAATTACACTCCAAGGTATGTAAACAGTACCTCCATCCTGTGGCATAAATAGATCTGTGGCATCCAAATATTTAAGCATTTTCCACAATCTTTTCTTTCTCTCCAGTTTCCTAAAGGCTCAGGCTTACAGCATACATTGTACTAGGCACTGAACATCTTAATATTTTCTTGTGACCACCAGGTTTTAAGCAAGCACGCAGCAAACAGAAGGTCATTCAAAGCAATTTTTATTTTGAAATAGCCAAGCCCCCATTCCCTGCTGTCCCTGCGAGGGATCAGTTGCCATAGTGTCTCAGGGTAGTTTTGGATTTGTTCCTTCAGCTGCTTCCATTTCATTCTTTGATGGTAATCACATTACATGCAGAGGCAGGATACCACAGTTGGTTTTTTTCCCCTTGATTACTCCATACTTGCAAAATATCAGCCTGCACTGCATCAACAGAGGCAAAATACCTTTTGATCTGTTTTGTGCTGCTCCTGCTGCTGATTTCCTTCATCTTGGCCCTGACAACATACTGTATATTGCAAAAGGATTTCTGTCTCAACAGCCTTTTTCTACCAAAATTATAGGAGACAGATACTGTAGTCCAAAATATGATGCAATTGAAACCCAGTGCCAACAAATTCATTTATATCAAGCAGGAATAATTGCAATAAAATAAGGAAAAACATGAATAAGCCAACATTTAGGACAGTAGGACGATGTGACTGACAAAAGCTGTAGCTGCAACAAACACTTGCAGACACGGTTATCCCCTCAATTCTCCTTTAAAATATACTCCTCACGGGATGCAATTCATTAGTTTAATAAAAACGGTGTTTTCTTTATATATCAACATTTAATACGAATAAAGCTAAAATTCCTAACTTCTGGCAACTTTGTGCCCCAAAAGCCACTGCATGGGAAAGTGGGTATTATCTTATTTTTGGGGGATTTTTTAAATTGATTTTTTTTTGTTTGTACGTAGTGCAAAATGCAGCATCACAGCTTGTTGAGAAACTATTACTCTATTACTCTAGCCTGTCAGTTTTGGACATAAAACATTACGCAGAAAACTAAAGCAGAAATGTGAGACAGGATCAGGAAGTGAATAAAGAGTAATTTTCACTGCATCAAGCAATCCAATCTCATTAAAAACCGCTTTCTCTTCTCATAATTCATCACACATAATGCTAAAGTAAACATGATTTTCCCTTAGTGGAGGATATTTTAGGCTCTTTTTAAAACATGATGTAATCAATCCAGCCTTATAATTTACAGTTTCAATATTCACAGAAAATTATTTATATTCCACATGCTGCCATGTCTTTTGCAAGACACTATGTTTACTAAGTAGAAAGATATGCAGGCACACAGGTACCTATCTATATGGCCTATTTTTATTTTTACAGAGAAAAGGAGGTGCAATATATTGGGGTTGGGAGATCTCTGGCACTGAGTATATCGCTGTTAGACTAGGTGGGCAGTTCTTAAGTCAGTTTGCCTCCATGCTCCTTGCAAAAGTATAAGCAAGGTCTCCCCACAAGAAGTGTCAGATCAACTTAATTTCTATTACTGTAACTTGGTATGATCATTATAATTTGCAAAACTTTTCCTGAATTTTCATTTTAAATAGTGGTATCAGGTATGCTAAGTGCAGCTGCTTTCCTAGAGATGTTTTTATTTACTTCCCCTATCAAAATAACTTTATTTAACCAAAGAAGCCAACTGGCTTCAACTGATTTATATCCAGGCATGCAAAACAATAGTTTCCATTTCAACACTGTGACTGTGGGGATGAAAACGTACCAACTGGTTACATCCATCTGCTTTAGGCTGGGAATAATCCATTTGAAGGAACTCCCAGCTGCAAATTTCTCTGGCGTATTTCTCCTGTCTGTGGAGGACACCAGGCAGGGGAAGAGAAGGCAAGCTTCACCACCTGTACGCTCATAGAGATTTATTCTGTATTCACATAGGCACAAGTTAAAGGTGCAAAACCCACACTGCAAGTACTACAATGCTTCCATTCTGCAAAAATTGCTGTTCTAAGGCAAGGCTGGAAAGCAAGAACTGATCGGAAAGCTCAAGGTATGAATTCATCTTATGCTCATGACAGGAATATTGCAAATAAATACAGAGAAGATGCTGACAATTTTGTCAGTTCTTCAGCATTCTTTTATGTTATTGCACTGATAGTTAATCTGAAGCCTAAAGAAAGGCTAATTTATTTGTTCAAAACAATTCACTACTAGGTAGCTTATTTGACTACTGTTTTGCAAGAAGCTTGAGGAACTTCTTATGGAGATGCAGTTTAAACTTCTAGGTAGCGAAGAAAAAAACTCTCCTGTGAGGGGAGGGAGAGAGGTGTGAGGAGGTGGAATCCGTGCTAGGAGACACTGTGCACACAAACAGTTATAGTGTGTAAATCTGAAACTGTACACAGGAAAATGGAATCCAGGTGTCCATTTCTGGCAAACACACTTAAGTACCTTTAGCTACGTTGCCAGTGAATGTACTTGCAATTATCAACCACTGTGATTCTCGTGGGCCAATGTAAGTGAATAAGTCAATTCAAGATTTCCAAGTACAGCCCAGCTGCCAAACCTCTTACCCAGAATGGGCATTTCTAAACAGAAGGTAACGATGGTATATTTAGATTGCCACTTAGAGCAGCAATTTTGTACCTGTCCCTTGCTGCTGAATCTCACTGAATGGTTACACACTTTTAGCAAATGCACCACTATGATCGTTACAGTTTTCTTTTACGAAATATTTCTCTGCTACTCCAGAACAAGCTCCTTTATCCAATGAGCTTTCAAGGTCCTTGACATATGGTAGCACTACCCAGGCACTACGATTCATCTTTCCTTCTTCCCATTTGCTTTAGAAGATACTCTGTGACAGAATTTGTACTGACTCTGTACAAATAAGCCTGTTACAGAACAGGAAAATCTGTACTTTTTCAAAAGTAAAAATGACCTCCAAGGTATATAAAGGATTATGTTAAAAAAAACCCTTTGCTATTAAAATAGAATCTCATGTGTGGAGCGTCCTAGATAAATGTCTAAGATACTATTGAGCATTTCACAGTGTCCTCATTCAGCCAAACTTGTGACACTGCACAAAGAGTAAATTGTTGGCCACTGAATTGTAATGACTTTCACTCATCCTGCCTGCTTCGGGAATGTATTCTTGGTTACAAAATCTAGTTCAATGAGGCTTTGCGCATCTGAGAATTGAAGAAGACAGGCATCAGAGCTGGGGAGAGTTCAGGATTATAAAGCACTTCTCCATGTTCACTAGAGACCTTTACCGAGTGCCTTTTGATTCACGTGATGTGCCTAGCATCTGACACAAGCAATCTTTAAAATACAACGTTGATATTTTCCAACATTGCTAGAAGACGTCTCAATGACAATGTCTGGAACAGAGAGACTGAACGCTTGGATGTGCACAGAGTTTATCAGAAACCAAAGCTGAACTGCCAGTACTCTGAATTATGTTCAAAATAACATCTATGCATTCGTATGCACAACACCTCCAATTATACAGAAAAATAGAGTTTACAACTTAGCCCGTAGGTCAGCATGTATACCCAAACAGACACCTAACAACTGGAAATGTGGCTCTCATAGCTTTCAGCTAAGCTAGAATAGGCCTGAACATTTATTTACTCTATGGTCTCCTCCTTCTTCACCTCTCTTTCTAAGATCTGTGAAGGGTTGGATCAGATGACCTCCAGAGGCCCCTTCCCATCTCAATTACTGTATGATTATACTGGGTCTCTTTAGGGCATGTTTGCTCAAAGAGAATGTATAGAGACATCATAACCTGAGATACAGGAGTGTTTCGGAACAGAATAACCTCTCCAGAAACAGAGCCTGAAATTTGGGAAAATTTGTAATATTTTCAGGAAAAGCTGCATAGAGTTGTCTTTTTTTGTAAGGGCAACTTCAGCATCATGCTGGAAAACAATAGGCAATGACTTACAAAGATTTAATTTACTACAGAACAAAGTTGGAAATCAGCATACGCTTAACATGGTTTTTCATTCAGCTTTCGGAATCTCTCTGCTTCTGAACAGTAACTGGCGACACACACAACATGCTGCCTTCAGTGAAACACACAGTGCTGTCCGTGCTTCTCGGCTACAAAATACTCTAGTCTCATTCTAGGTGAGATGTTTACAAGTGTTCAAGTCATCAACACATACAGTTCCCAGAGACTTTCAATATTTGTCTAAGTAAAGTAGGTGATTTAAATACTATAACATCATTTGCAAAGACTCTGAAACTTCCCTTACCTCTTTCTTTACCTCCTCCTCATCTTCCAGAGTCAGTGCAGCCAGTTGCTTAGCTCTCTGCTCCATCAAGTTTACATATCTGATTGGATTGGATAAGGCCTCAATCACATCTAGAAATAAAGCAAATACTTTAGTTTCAAATCCCTTATGTTATGGTTCCAGTGCTCCTAAGGTTTTAAGAAAGAGACTGTATTTTTCATACAGATCTGCTGCTGATAGGTATTCCGGGTCCTAGAAACAACGGTGGAGGCGAGTACATCGTCATGCACAAATACTCTAACACAAACTCTCTTTGAGTCTGTGCTTGGGTCTCGTGGATGTGCATTTTCTGCACAGTGTTTTATGATGGCATTAGCCAACTAAGATCCTGCTTCATATGAGTACAGAGGACCATTAGTAAAAATCTTGTCTTTGAAAAAAATCGAAACAGTGATACAGAGTACTGTTTTTCACTGAAGATAGAATCATAGAATAATAGAATGGTTAGGGCTGGAAGGGACCTTCAAAGGTCATCTAGTCCAAACCCCCTGCAAGGAACAGGGATATCTCCAACTAGATCAGGTTGCTCAGGGCCTCGTCCAACCTGGCCTTGAACTGCTCCAGGGATGGAGCATCCACCACCTCTCTGGGCAACCTGTTCCAGTGTTCTACAACTCTCGTGGTAAAAAATTTTTTCCTAATATCCAATCTGAATCTACCTCCCTCTATTTTAAAACCATTAGCCCTTGTCCTATCACAACAGGCCCTCCTGAACAGCCTCTCCCCATCTTTCTTGTAGGCCCCCTTGAGGTACTGGAAGACCGCTATAAGGTCACCCCAGAGCCTCCTTTTCTCCAGGCTGAACAGCCCCAACTCTTTCAGCCTGTCCTCATAGGAAAGGTGCTCCAGCCCTCTTATCATCTTCGTGGCCCTCCTCTGGACCCTCTCCAACTGGTCCATATCCTTCTTATGTTGGGGGCTCCAGAACTGGATGCATGGATAGTATGGTCTTTAAACCTGTGCTTGTTTAGAGCTGATTCCAAAATACAATGCTCTACATTAAGCATGGCACTTTGCTTAGGAAACAATTGCATACTACTGTGTCGTGTAAGCAAAGTTTCATTTGCGTTTCAGTGGCAAATGCCTGGGGTATTTCCTCCTTTACAGAGTCATTCAAGGTCTGCTGAAAATAGAAGTCTTGGTCCTAATCCTAAACCTCAGGCAGGCCGCTGTAAATCAGGCCATCAGAAATAACGATCCATCAGATGCAGAGGTTTGTTCACAGGACTGTTATCCCAATATGGCAAGTCACCTACACCACTTTCATTTTACATTTTTAGTAACCTTTATATTTCCCAGTAAGAAAACGTCACAGAATTACCTGCGTAAGTGTCAGGTACATAGTCTTTGACCTCTATGTACACAAAGAGAGCTGGCAGTGTCAAAGGTTGGTTCCTCTCATTCCTCAAACAGATGTAGTGATAGCCTGCAAAATAAGAAACAACCAGTTCAGAGCATAAATTCTGCCACAGGCATTTCCAACGTAATTGTGTTATCATTTGTTATTTATAGTGTGGCTCCAACTGAGCAAGCAATCCCAGGCACTTCTGGTAGGGATTTTCCTGAAGGGTTTCACGGATAAGTATACAACGGACTGTCAGAAAGGTTCATGACACTGCAGTTTAGAATGGTATTTTCCCTTTGTTTTTACATCTCTGAACAATGCTAAAAATTGCCATTTATATAATTTTTGATGCATTCTAGTTTATTACCTTAGGATGGATTTTTTTTATTTTTTTTTTAAGCTCTTATTTAATTTTCAAAAGTGACCCTTGTAATACTCAGGAATCTGAACAGTGAAGTAAAACTGAGAGGTAAGAATCCACCCACAACACAGTCTCTAATTTAAAAAATAGACAACGTGGAACTGTAGCTACAAGGTGGGGGTGTGTGACCAACCTTAGAAATGTATCCCAATAAAGTGCCTTTTCAGACTGTTTTGAAAGCTGGCTGACTTGCAAGAGTGAGGGCACACATTACAGTGTTAATGGGGCAGTCCCAAACCCTTCCTCTCAGCCACCTACACCAGCACCTCTTGTGCACTGACACTTTTCTGACTTGCAGCTCAGCAAGGTAAAGTCTGGAAAAAAGTGACCTTCAGAAACTGCGAAGCCTTCTGCCAATTTAGCTCCCCAAAATGCTTCACCATAAGGTCAGACACATTAATGCCAATTTAAAGACAGTGACGGAAGTGCAGAGGTAGGGGTGGGAGAAAGGTGCCTCACTGGACTGATGTGAACAACTTCATCTTCAAGTAATGGTTAAATCCTTGTTTTGGGAATAATGGTAATTCTGTGGATTTGTGTGATAGTATGATACAGTTTTCAATAATGTCTCAGAAAAGAGAGAAATTAAATATCACAAAGGTTTCTCAGTTCCCTCAAGCTCCTCCAGCAAATTTTCAGCATGTACACAAACTAAAATCAACGTGCTGCCCTCCATCACATGCTGTAAACCAGTGATTACTCGAGTCAAAAAGGACAGAAGATAGGCCCGTGGGAAAAAGCTCTTGAAAGCCCTTGTATGATTTAACACAGCGGCCTTTGTTCTAAAAAGCACAAGCTGAAAAGCAGGTACGTGATTCTGCGCTCTGCTGAATTGATTCTGTGCCGCACGAAGGGCGAGTGCCATGAAAGAGGATCAGTTATGGGAAGAGTTCACTTTCATCAGAACAGTGAAGTCCTTCACATCCCCCTTTCTCCTCTCCAATCACCCATCTTCCTCTGGAGCTCGGCAGATCCTCCACAAGGCGATTACATCCACCAGCAGAAAACAGCTGAGAGTTTTCTGCTGGACTCAGAAGATGAGTTGGCTCACAAAAAAGGTGTGGAGATTGGCAGAGCTGGCACAATGAATGGCCAGGGATGCATGGCCAAGAGCAGGGTAGAGAGAAGGGAAGGAGAAGGGAAAGTAAGTGACAACTGGTGAGGAAATCCTGGAGCAGTGACAAGCCCAGCAGCCACCTCCCACGGCTAGCTTGCAGTGAGGCCATGCAACCCACACCAGCTAAGATAAAACCACTTGGAGCTCTTCTTAGAAGAGCCCTGACATCACCTGCCACAAGATAATGGACTGATATATATATTACCCCAGATCACGTCTCCAGGAATAATATGGACAACGACTGTTAGATACAGGGATTGTGAGCTTTGTGCTACTGCTGGGACTGGCTAGATAAGGTACAGAGCAGACACAGATATTCTTCCTTTTCCTGTGTGAGGAAAGCTGGGAGCATGTTTATGGCCCATATGCTTGCCCTAATTTAGTTTCCTCTCCTCCCCTCACTGGAAAAGCTGGCGCTGAAGTCGAATGCTTCTCTTGCTCAAAATGCCAATGTCACTGCATCTTTCTGAAACACGATCTCTAACAAGTCTCTGGCCTGGAAAATAACAGCTGAGTTGTTGCACAAGACAATTTTCAGTTAAGTAGCCGCTAATTATAATAGAAATAATTATATGATTTGGAAGAGACTAGTAGTTATTATTTTTGAGAAATAAAGATAAAAGTAATTTTGGGTTGATTTAAAGGTTTTGCAGAGATATAACAGCTTGCATATAGGTCAGCTCTTGCATGCATGTAAAAATTACATTAGGGGAGCATATTTTGCTATCGTTCCCAGCAATCTCTCATTCTCAAAAAGATGATATCAAAATTGGCTGTTGCTGCCCTCTTTCCTCTTAAAAGTGTACAATTGCACTTTTTAGCATAAAACTGTGAACATGCAGTCGATCTACCTGAGACCAGTAAGTGCCAACCATACCTCTGACTATTAATTCTATTGGTTTTCCTGGTTCATTTACAATTTTAAATTCCTGGTGAAATACGGTATTTTTCTTTTCAAAGATGAGATACATTATTCAAATCCTCAGTTGCTATAAATCTGCAGAGCGGCTGCTGATTTACAGCACTGGAATTCCGGCATGCTGCTTCTTTTCACTAAATAATGTCCATCTCATTGGAGAAAAAGAGTTTACCTGGTCGAATTGCTGAGACTGGTAATATTCGATGACCAATAAATTTCCCTCCTTCTTCATACACTGCTAGCCTCAAACATGCCAGGGAAGGTAAAACGACCTAGAAGGCAATATTGTTGCATTATTAACTTTCAGCTCTGAATGAAACAGCTCAGACACAGGCTATATGGCAGACATTAACATCTACATCTACCATATAAGAGGTCAGGGTGTATGCACCTGCACGTCAAAATAACTCTCATAGAAACATTTTTCAATCAAGAAACTTGATATGGGATGTGTGCATAGGATGTTGAACCCAGCAGTTTGACCCTACATTTTCATTAGGATACAAGGGACTTTAGCAGCTCAACTTCTATCACACTTGAATGTCACTTTGTTTTCTGCTTATTATTACAGCCCTACGTGTTTTGTTTTGTTTTGTTTTGTCCTTTGTGTTTGTGCCAATGGGATTAGTTATTTCTGAGAATGGTCACTGACAGGCATATCAGTGTTGAAAACTCAACAAGCAACTCAACCTGTTTTGCGGAGTGTGAATGTACAAATTACATGAACCATGTCAACCCCAGTCGAATTTTCCAGTGCTGCAGCACACTCACTGGCTGGGCTAAAGACGTTTAATCAGGCAGGATGTTTACTAGTATTGGAGATTTACTTGGCACTACATAAGAAAGAAGGCCAAACAGTGAAAAAAGAAAATAAGAAATCAAGAAAGGTTACTTAAACTACCCTCCTAATATAGGAATCTTTAATATTACTCTAAAAAACTGTGTAGCATAATTCATCCACATGTTTTTAATCTGGGCACGGATATGCATTTTTTCAGAACATATGACAAAATTTATCTAGACAATGAAAGGAAAAAAAAAAAAGCAACAATCCAAACCAAAGAGTTTCTCTAATTTATTTTCAAGATTACTAAAAATAGTAATCTGTGCTTCACTGAGCACAGAGGCAGTCAGGCACGATTGTTAACTAAATAGAGAAATGAAGTACACTAATTAGAAGTTCATTACAGAAGAAAAACGCTAGCGATGTTTCCAAACTCGAGCTCTGGCAGGCTGCCAAAGGAAAGTCATTCAGAAGGCCAAATATTCAGGGAAAAGGGCTGTACTCCCTAGACAGCAGGGCTGCAAGTACCAATTGTATAAACACCTCTGTGAACTACATTTGCCTGGAGAAATACGGAAGAAATTGTTTTACAAACACCTGGGCTCAGGATTCACTTCACCACAGTGTCCAATAAGCAAAGCCCAGAAATGCTCTTAGGAAACTGGCTGCCAAGTACCTTGTGAAGCACAGTAAGACATTCACGTTGCACAATCCTAAAACATGCTCAGTGTTCTCTGCTCCCTCGACGTTTAGAGAATTGAGTCTGAGTAATATTGTCCAAATTGCATAAGTAGCTCAGGAGCCTACGTCTCATTTCAAGTGGATGGGATTTCAGTGGTTTCATCACCTAGGTTATATTTATATGGCACAATCTCGTGTTAAGCAGAAATAACAGATTGCTTGGAATGTATTAGCTCGGACAGCCAGATTGTTATAGCTGTATTCACATCGTCTTGCTCGCAGGTTAACAGGATCTGCTATTCAGTAGGGTGCTTCAGCCCAGGCAAAATGGTAATTCAGCTAAACTGCTTCTGGGACCTGTGCTTGCTCCTTAACGCACAGCACTGCACTGCGCTATAAAGATGAGTCCATCAACATGTCTTCTGTTTCCAGCTGTGTCAGTGAAAGAATCACCGTGACTTGAAACTCATTTGTTTCAGTAGGAGCTGGCATGACTAGAGTAGCAAAATTACACCAAAAGCGGTTAACAGTAATCAGTTCAAGAAATGACTATTTGGAATCTCTTTATCTTCTTTCTAACAAACGCAAAGTTTCAGTAACCCACAGAATTACTCTACTGGACAGTGATAAAACAAGCACAAGGCATGTCTGGCAAGCAAGTGTTACACTGACCTTCTTAAACACGATGGTTTCCTCTTCCCAGACGGGATTAACTGCATTGCCTTGAGAGGTCTTGGTCTTCAAAGCTTTTCTTCTTGTATCCACAGGCAGGCCAAACATGTCAACTTCTACATAGGTACCGACTTTTTTATCAGAAAGAAACTGACCTGAAATTATCTAAAACCAAAACAAAGGAGAACCACTAGAGACCACTTTGGTGGATTAGGAAACGAGTGGCTGAAATGCCGACAGGTTAATTCTCATTAATGATCAGACAGTACGCATTTAAAATCAAAGCAAAACAAAACCAAAACCACGATAAACAAGAAAACACTGCTTAATATTGCAGACACAGAAAAACAATTTATGAGGCCTGATTTCCTGTGACCCTGTGGTCCTGAATTCCCCCATGAGTGATAATGTGGTTGAGATCATGCTGTTGCCCTTCCCTCAGCGGGAATACTTGTTCGGATCCCGTTCTTCAATCAGGCTGCCTATTTCCACAACACAGTACCTTTGAGGACTCTCATTTCTATTCAGTTTCAACAACAGGTTCAAAAAATGCTGGAAGAAAAGAGGTATAAGCAGCAGAGAAACTACATATGTTTTTAACTGCAAGGGAGAAAACAAGCTGAAAAGTTGGTATTCCAATAAAGGCTCTTCACACAGGGTGAGGAGTTTCACGATGAAAAAAAGACAACTATAAAATAGCTGGTCTCTTCTAGTTCTTATTTTTAACAAAAACCACAACTCTCAGGTTTAAAAAGTTAAAGAAAGGTCTGCAATTACTTCAGAAAATGGAAGAGGCAGAGAACTTTGTAGCAGTGTCACTGAACCTTAACAAATTCAGGTTTGCCTAAAGCAAATCTTAATCTGTTCTCAGCTGTATCTTGTATAAGCATTGACATTTATAACCAGCAGAGCCTTCATCAAGCAGGCAGAGGCAGCTGACTTCTGACAGCTGTCTCATGACTCCTGGATGTTCATTCCTGTTAAAAATGCGGTGCATCTCCTAATAGGTATTGAATGACTTCCATCTCCATTTACTGAAATTACAGAAGAAAGTGCCTCTAAACCCACAGGATGACCTGAAAGCTTCCATGATTACAGGTCACCACAAAAGGTCATTCCCATATAGTCATCTTTTTTACCATGCATGTCATCAGATTATTACTTTATTCACATCCCTTCCAGCACTGCTCTGCTGTGCTTGTGTGTGCAGCCTGAGAGGAAATACTTGCTCTCTCTAAAAGAAAACAAGAAGATATTTTGCAGGTGGATTCTATAATATAGACACTGCTCTAATGGACAAGTCCATTAAAGGAATAACAGGATTTCAGAAAGTTTATGTTTTTATAACTAGAGACATATCAAGTATAAATTTGTGATCCTGTCACAGCCGATGCAATCTACCCCTCTAAACATTCATACAAGTAGTTTCATTTTGCAGATTCCTGGTGGTCCTTGAACTTCACCAGAGGCTCTTAAAAAGGAATGAAGAAAAGCAAGTTGGCAATGAATTGCAGCTGACATTTATGGTTCCACTGTTCTGCTGGAGAACTTATACGGAACCAGAAAATTTATTTATACTAAACAGGGTACTGTTCTAGCTATTCCAGTGCAACCTACCACTTCATAGCAGTGCATTTTAAATTCAGCTCTTTGTTACTAAAAACACAGCCAAGCTACTCCTAAATCCATTCACTTACCAATTACTTCTATGGAAAAGAATGCGTACGACAAAAATACATTTATTTATCCTGCAATATGAATTATGAGGCAGAAGATCCTCTGCAATCTAAAAATGAAATGTCTCTCCATAAAATGAAATGCATTTTATGTTCCTGACTTAGTATGGTCATTTCTTAGGCCACTGCATAACAGAAATACATCCATGCTCTAACATTGTCATGAGAGCACCTTTACTAGATGCATACATACCTTGACAGACAAGGTGTTAGCTACTATTCCATCCACTATACTTTCAGTAAATGGATCAAAGTGTTTGTCTGGTCTTCTCATGAATTCTGGCTTTAACCTGTATCCACTTTTGCCATTGTACTCGTACATCCCCATGTTTATTTGCATAGACAAATCTAGGTGTTAAAAATATTGATAAGAATAATGTTCTGGTTAGATAACGATTTTAAAAAGCAATAAAATAATACTATTTATTGTAATTTCAAAGCAGCTGTACTGTAAACAGCTATTTATGGCACATGTTGCTTGTTAAAAGAGGTTTTGGAAGTGATTGCAGCCACCCTCTTGGATTCTCTTGACAAGAAAAAGACGTCTGTAAGACATCTTTCAGAGACTACTCAATAGAGAACATTTTCAAATTTTAAAAGAAGCTTTGATACTTAGGTTTTGAGTTCCTCAGCATTGTATTGTTGCACCTGACCCAGCAGAGCACTTATATTTCTAACCCCTTCTAACATCAGACACTGGGTGCCCGACACTTGGTTAAAACTGGCCCAAAAAGCTTTTATTACTCCACAGACTCCCAGCCTGTGTTGGGTTTTGCTTTCCATGGAAAGTCGGTGTATACATAGGCACAACTGGAAAGGAAAAAGGGAATCCTACCACAGTACCATGTGCCCAGAGGCAGAACATGGCCAGGATATGTCCTGGGATGCATTAGATGGGAATGTTTGTATGTCTCAGACAGATAAAACCTTGGAAAACAATACATTCTGTTTCAAAAGTGACTTGTGCATCTAGGAGCCTTGAACACTCACTTTTAAAGTGGAATTTGCTGTCTAAGTCCCTTATGTCTTGATATACTGAGATTTTGGAAGATGCAGGAAAAAAATCTCTGCCAGATGCGGAATGCTGCTCAATGGTAACCACTTACAAATGATGACAATATGGAGGGCATTATGTATGTGTATTACATTAGCTACAGTATGGTAATTATGAATACTCCTAGTTAAAAAAAAACCAAACAACTGTGCTAAAAATGTTAATTAACAGCTCTGTAGTATCATTCAATCACTAGATGTCTTTTTGATGTATGAAGCCTTTCCTACCTACAAATCAGAAACCGGATCAGAGAAGGGGAAAAGTACAGCTTACAAAATCTAGAGACCAGCACAACTTACCTACAGTTTGGAAGTTAAGAGCAACCATTTGGCAGCCAGCATTCCAAAAGACTTGTGGCATGTAGTTCGAAGAATCTACACGTGTTCCCTTTGGGTAAATTCGGCTCAGCTGCATTTTGTTGTATCTAAACGGTGAGTAGTTAAGACACATGTGACAAAAATCACTTGGCAGGGAGGTGCAACTGCACTGTTTAAATGCAGGTGATCTTTACAGAATGGCAGTGAATTCCTTATTGGATTTCTGCCACCGTAACGCTTCTAGAGGTGCACAATTTTGTAGGAGATATGATAAATACAGGTTAACTAAAGGTGCTCTTTGTTCCTGTACTCAGTACTCAGAATAAGCAATGAAATAGCATAGGCATATGCATTAAAAAGATAGCATTCATAAAATTCTATTTATCATTATGGTTACTAATTTGGGATTTTCCTAAGATTGCATTCATAGAGGCCAAATAGCTGTAAACAGCGAACCTTCCTCTGGTGGGGGAGAGGTGCTCCATTAAAAAATAACTGCTCTTCTGGAATAGGCATTAGAATTGGCCTCTACATACAGACAGAGATGATGAGTGTGCACTTCCTATAGTTGAGTCTACAAATCTCAGAAATGAGAACATGCTGCAGGTTATCTGTGGAAATAGCTTTCCATTAATCTTCTTTAAGGCACTGTTTTATCTTGACCATTCATTCTTAACTGCAGCCATGATGTGAGACGTTGAGAAACATCAAAAGGTCTAAACAGAATGCTCTTCAGCTTTTCTTTAAAAGTTATAAAAAACTCTTGAGAAAAAAAAATAATTGTGTGGTAATAAAACAGCTCAGTGCTCTTCGAATTACAAGTATGATGGGAAAGCAAGCTCTCTTGTATGACTTTGCAAAAAACCATCAGCCACATTTTGAGAATTTGTTCATTGTAACTCATACCACCTCATACAGCATGATAAATTTAACAATGAGAATACAAAGTATGAGGTCTTCAATATGTAGTTTATGCCTATTCCCTGTAGTCCTAGCCCACAGCACAAGGACTCATGCCAGCTTTTAAATTAGCTCATCAGAACTCAAGCCAATTAATTTATCTAGGAAGACAGTCAAATCCACAAATTTCATTTGCGTTCCCCATTTCCCCAGCTCCTGTCTCCAAATTTCAATAAAGCCCTGTAACAGATGTCAGATATAGAAAGGCTAAGAAATCAGCTTTCTGAAAGTCAAGGATACTCCACGAATTCCACAGGAGACTTTGTAAGTTGCTCGAGCCCTTTGGTTTCCACAAAGGAAGACATTTCAAAACTTTTGTTGCGTTCTGAAAGTTTAAAGGGGAAATAAAAACAGTGACACGTTAGAGCATGCAATCATATGTGATACAAGAGCTGCAAACAACTGGCTTAGTCTCAGTTCACTTGTCCCATCTACTGTTCACCAGCCCATTTCACCTTGATCTCAAAGAGTCTACCTACACGACTGTTTGCTGACAGCAGCAAGGTCACTCCGCACATGGGAGCGCAGAGCTCTGTCTGAGCTCACATCAGCACTGCCCAAATTAAGGGCATCGGTACTGCCCGAGACTGCTGCTGTTCCAGCTTCAGGCAACAGAAATTCCATGCACGGGCAGAGACCTCTCATGTTGGCTCACAAAATACTACGTTGATCTGTTTGAGAGGTAGAGCCCAAAGCTCTCAGGTGGGATGCAGAGGCAACATGGCAGCTTTTGTGGCCCTGCTGGATCTCTAGATTGTCTTTGCAGGCAGATGCAAGGGTTTTGAGCCAATTCAAAGCTATAGTGACTAACGTCCGTATCAGATTAAACTAAGCAGTGCTCTAGCTGTGCCTACAGCGGTTCTCGTTATCTCCAGTACGTCAGAGCAAGGTCACATCTGTCTCAAACAGTCACGGAAACATTGCTATTTAATCAAGCCTGAAGGTACACTCCTGTGTCCCAGGAGGTCTTCAGACCTAACCCCAGACTGATACGGAGCTTCTACGACCTCTTTCATTTGGTCGGACTTTCTGACCTGACAGTGGTGAAAAGCTCCTCCTAAGCTTGTAACTCAGGGGGACAAAACATTAATTTGTGTATCATCTGTTACTCACCTTTACCTGATGTGTGCACAGCCTTTCAGTGTACCCGTGTGACATGCTGTAGCAGACAGCCCAAGTCGAGACCCTTCTACCTTCAGTATTTTTTGCTTTTGTACAAAAGGTAAGGATTCCTGTAAAATAACACCTTCCCATTTTGTCACTATCAGCTGCGTAGATTGCCTAGAAGGGGCCACAGCACTGGGAGGTCATAGCCATTAGCTCTCTCAGCACTGCTCTCTTTAAAAATGAGGGAAATGGTGCCTGTGTTGAAGCATAAACTCTCTAGCCTCACCACTTTGTTGAAAGAAAACAATAAAGCAGAGAAAAGGCTTGCCCTCATCCAGTTTTAGATGTAATTGTGCTGCAGTAACCCAGGAATGGCCAGGAGGCCAGCCTGGCCGGCTCCTTGAAGTCAAACAGCGAAGCTGCAGGAGAGGAATAAAACTGAACAAAAGCACTTGCCTTGCAGAGAGAAGCAGGACAGAAACAGGTGGGCGCTTTCCTTACAGGGAGCCAAAAAGGAAGCAGTGGATCCAAAGAAGTGAGGAGCTAGATTGTTTGGGCCAACACAGAGGAAAATGTGCTGCCAGTTTATGAATTACAAACTATTCTTGGCGTACGTTGAAGAGTCAGAGGACGACCGCAGTGTTCCAAAAGTGATTCTTCCCTCTAGGAGAGGTGGGACTCAGACTTTATCGTGGTCCCCATTTCTAATTAGCAACCATCACACTACTGCCGTTATTCATAGCTGTTATCTCCTAATGGTGAATGATTCTTGCCATTCCCTAGAGCCTGCTCTCCTACCACTTCTCTTCTTTTCCAACAAGCAATATCCTCTTTCTCCAGCCAGCTCTTCTCCACCTCAGCTCCTTATAAAGGCACTAAGATTATTCTTATTTCATCCTTCTCTCTTGCTAGTGGGATAGCACTAGCAACATACATATATAGTGGGTTTATTCTATTTAGAATATAGGTGCTAGAATTTGTTGCATATACTGTATCTCTCAGCCTTATCCTAAAGTACAGCATTTGTAGAAAACCAGAACTGGTAGCTCTTAAATGACTTGGTTACTAAGTGTCCAGGGCTTAATCAAACTCCTAATTAAAATGAGAACAATTATTTCCTTGTAGTATCTGGAGAGGATTAAGAAACCTGCCCTTTGAAGAAAAGACTGTGCAGGAGACACATTTCTCTTTTGTGATACAATACACCGTGCTATCTTATCAGAAGGAAGTCATGACGGAGTGGACAAATAGCTCGTTGAAAAACTGCCTGAAAAACTTGAAAAAATACAACCACTTGCTATCAGAGAGAGGGAACATATCTAGTGCGGGCAATCAGGGGACTGTCACAGATCCAATGCTATTCAGCATTTCTGTTAACAAGTTGGATGTAAGACCAGAAAATGCACTTCTATAATGTGTGAATGACAGAAGCAGTGAGGTGCTGATATCACCATGGAAGCCAGGATCCCAAATCAAAACAAATTCTGAATTAGAAACTATTAAATTAGAAAAATGCTGTAACATTGAAATGATGAAACTGTATAAAAGGTAAGTATGGAGCTCTACACTTAGGGAAATGAAGTCAGGTGAACAAAAATAAAATCTGGGCAACAACTGGATAGGCATCAAAATAAAAAACAATCCTCATCTAATTCCTCCTTTATTCAGCTCATCTTTGCTGAATTTTATGAAGGTCCAGCAGTGAGTCCAGGCCAGGGCTAAGACCAGAACCCAAAAGTCACACTACAGTGCCCACTGCTTTAACTAGCTGGCAACACTTACCACGTAAGGCCACTGCTTTAACAAACTGGCCACATTTACCACATAATGATTTTTTCAACACAAACATCAGAAAAATTAATTCCTTAAGATTATTAGTTCATCGCAACAGCATGATTGATCAAAGGTCACACCAAGACTTAGGATAAAAAATTTGGATGTCAGCAGTTCTTTACAAGTAAAGACGAAGCTCGGAAAGGCACAGGCATGTGAACAGAAGAAACCTACACAGACAATTTTATAACAGCTGCATCAACTTGTCCTGCTACGATTCACATGGCTTCCTTTCCAGAAGGAATATCTCCTTCCCACTGTGTTCTTGTAATTCTCATTAGAGCTAGAGGAGATTATAAACATCCAAAGGGAGACTAACTATAGGGAATGAGCGTAGCTCTCTGCATGATTTTGTGACTGCTGTGTGTATGTCTGTATAAACACACACCTACAAATGAACAGGTAGAGAACTTCTTATGTGTTTATTATTCATGACGAGTAAATGCAAAATCTTGTATACAGCTACGGACTTCGGCACCAGTTACCTGTCCTCTGCCAAGGCCTCCAGAAATCCACAATAAATTAAAATGCTTCTTTAACTAAAAAGCTCCAAGAGCATATTGCAACCTGTCAAAACAAAGTGAAAAAGGGCAGGCAAACAGTAGGGGGTTCTGCACCAAGAAAGGAAAAGATGCTGCAGTGTTTATTAAGGATGCCACTGAGTGCATTCCTAGCAAGGCATCTTCTGTAAAAGCCAGCAGGGGATAAAATTATGGCCTTTTCTATACAATACACAGAGGCAGGACTGAGTGAATTTGCATATGGGGAAGGGCAGACTCTGCTTGCACTGATCCTCTCTAAAAGGAGCAGAAGCAAACTATAAAGCACTTGCTCAATCCTAAGGAATATTTATGACCACCTTTCTCAAAGCTACTTAAGTTACTCTTTACTCATGTACAACAAAGGCAACGTAAGCACAACATTTTCAATTTTATTTTTTTTAATGGCAGCATGTTTACTGTTGATGAAGTTTGATATTTAGACTAACGCAGGTTTCAAAATAAATACGCATTTATTTGGCTGGATACACCAAGGGAACATTTTCTGTCCGTGTGCCTGTATGTACTGAGAGGAAGCCAAGCAGCGTTTCTCCAGAACTTTCTCCCAAACACTTGCTAGGTAATTTCCAGTATAAGATGTTGCTCATGCTTAGCTTACTTACTTTTTGATACTTCGAATGACTCAAACTTCACAGGCTGAATGTAGTTCACCAGGTTAGACATCTCTTCCGTGGCCATAGCCTCGCTTCCAGCAGTACCCTAGGACAGAGAAGGGAAAATGCTGCAGTTTTAATCTGTCCATGGTGGCCAGCAGAGGCCACAAATACAAAAGCCCAGTTTTCTGTCCACTGTGATATCTTTCATTGATCCTGGCTTGGTGAAGTCAGTGCCCCACACAGGGAGCTTCACACAGTAAAGAAGAAAATTCGCTATAAAACTGAAACGTTTAACTAACTGCTGCTGTATTCATGCTTTTTACATGGCTTCTAGGGAAGGGACTGCATTACCTTTACACACACGTAGTGCTGAGCACATTCGTCAGTACTGTTGGATTATTATTTTATTGGATAAAATCCAAACATAGCTCTAAGTTTTCAATGTCAAGTTTTTCTTCTAACATTGCTAAATACACCACAAGCAGCGGTCTAAAACAGATCAGCTGTGGTGCTATTAATTCTTATTCTTCAGTAAATGAAAATATAAACAAAGCAAAGATGTTCTTCCCAATGGATTAACAACCAACTCCAGAAAGTTGGTCGTGTTTCCCAGTGCTCTGCCTCCCTTTCTCCACTAGATGGCAGTCCCACTCCTAGTAACATGAGCCAATCCACAACTGCTGGAACCCACCCAAAACCATAAAACATATCTACACCCTTACTTCATCCATCGACGACTTTTTACAGTCATCATCATAGTCATCATCATCATCGCTCTCAATCTCTGCTTCTCCTGAAAAGTTTTAAGCAGAAGATAATTACTGGCTGAAGCAACAGTGATAAATACCAGCGGTAAATTCGGTAAAGATGTGCAAGTAGCGCTGCTCAAAGGAGACTACAGTACACACGTGCTTTTTGTCACAGCACAAATCAAATACACTGTCTCGAGGGATTCATCCATCCTCAGCATTGATAAGTTCTTATTGTCCAAACAAACAAAAGCTCTTCCTTGGCAGCTGCTGGATGCTCAGTGCTTG